ATGTTCCAGTCTCTTCCCCTCTCCAGGTGAACCTCCCTTAGATTTTGCTTATTTGTTTTTGCCTCCCTTAGTATCTTTACTCATAAAATAAGGGACTTAGACTGGAGGCACTGCACTGTCCTGTCAGTATTCTAAAAGAATAAGAAGTTTCTTTTTCTGCTTCCAAAGCTTCCTGCTGGAGGATTCCAACAGCCCTCCCAGAGGTGTGCATAGCAGGACCATGGAGTTTCCCTTCTCCTGCACTATGGTGATCCACCCTCCACTCTGCCACTGTCCATAGTGACTGATGGCTTGTATTTTACCTACAACTGGGGACTCCCCAGCCTCCTTTTCAACTGGTTAGTGTCTTGTGGTTTTCTCACTGTTTTACAACTGAAAATGGCCCAAACCTGAGTGACAGAAAGTCCCAGGGATCCAGTCAAACCTTGCACCAGTCAAAGCCTGACCCAGAGTCAAAGGTCTGGGCTGAAGTTTTGAGTAAAATTTTAAAGAGTACAGGGGTGCGTGGGTGGCTCAGTCGTTAAGTGTCTGCCTTCGGCTCAGGTCATGATCTCAGGGTCCTGGGATCGAGCCCCACATCGGGTTCCCTGCTCAGCAAGAAGCCTCCTCCCTCTTCCACTCCCCCTGCTTGTGTTCCCTCTCTTGCTGTCTCTCTCTCTGTCAAATAAATAAAATCTTAAAAAAAATTTAAAGAGTACAAAATTGTCATCTAAAGACTCACAAGTCCCTTTCTGTGGCTCACGTAAGGAATTCTGCTGCATTGCTGCAAGGTATTCGGAGACTCACAGTCCCCATCTCTCTTTCCTGATGCTCTGCGCAGGGTGCTCTCCTGAGGTGTACCAGCTCCTGTACAGTTACTTGAGCTTGGTGGTCACACTCATGGCACACAGAGGTTTCTGATAATGGGGACACCTAGAAGACTCAGAGAGGAACAGCTGCTCCAACATCCCATCTTATAGTCCTGGATTAGTAACTCCTATCTCTCTTGATCCCACCTCTGGGCTTTGTACAATCTAGCCTGCCTCACCTCCCGTGGATAAATGCTCCTGTATGCTTACAGTCCAGAACTAGGCTTCCTTTCCATCTTCCTTCCCATCGGTGTGGACCTGTAGGAAGGGTATTTAGATTCCTAAATACCCTTCCTACAGGTCCACACCGATTTGAGTATATGTGCTGCCTAAGCGAGCACTCCAGCAAGGTCCACTCCAGAATCCTCCACATTCCAGAAGCCAGAAGCCGGTGGCAGGCGAGGACTAGTAAGAGGTGGGGACTCAGCTGGTTCCGTCCAAGAGTACATATGGGTGGGTGGGGAGGAGTCCGAACCTTCTTCCTAAACACACTTCCCAGTTCCCCGCGAGGACACCTCCCTTCCACTTCCTCCCACCACCCCCACCCCCGTCCCCTAGAGAGGAGGTGGGAGCGTCTAAACGCGGAAATCGAGGTGCTCGTCCAGACTGAGCGGTCGGCTTTACTCATAGGTAGATAATGCCCATCCCGGGTCTACCCCAAGCCACGTAGCTGCTTCCCCTGGTTCAACCGGTCTGTGACAGAGACATCAAGGCCTCGGCACCCGGCATCGAGGCGCTGAGAGCCCCGCACACGGTTCCGCAGGCTGGCCCCGGTGCGGTATGGAATCCCAACCGACGGAGGAGTGGGACTGCCCACAAAATCGAGCCGACAACTTAGTGTGAAAGGGAAGGGTCCCAGCGACTGTCACCGGCCCGCCACCCAAAACCCCGGCCCCCACCTGATCCCGACGCGGCCTGCGAGCCAGTGAGGTACGCGCCGTGAAGTACTGTTCGAGCTCCGAGTCTGAGTCCTCCTGGCTGCAGTAACCACTGCTTGTTGTGCTGCTCCAGGTCATCTCGAAAGAAGGCGTCCCCGCATCCGCCTCGCCCATCGCCGCGCCCGCCCGCCCGCCAGCTCCCCAAGTCCCGTGCGCCGGTAGCCTCCAACCACCGCCCCAGGCGCGTGTGCGCGTGCGCCGCGATCCGAGTTCGCGCTGCAGCCGTTAACACTGAAACGTAGACACCCAGGATCAGGCTCTCGTCTCATTGGGGGAGGGACTTCGGAGGGCGGGTTCCTACGCGCCACGCCTCCAGGAATGACCTCATAGCCCAGGCAGCTCCCCTCGGCTCTGCCTCGCAGACCCCTCCTCTCTTGGGGAACAGGTCGGAGCGTGTGCGCATGTGCACCAGCGTGGCCGCAAGACCGGATGCGGATGCGGGAAGGTGCGGAAATTGCGCGGACGCGGAGTTAGGGCGATTCCGGGCGGTCTGTGCGTAGTCGGCATCCCTGGCACCCTTTCGATCCCGCGCGCAGAATTAGCCTCTCTCTGTCGCGGGAAACCCCCCGTTAGAACGCTCTTTGCGCGTAACGCGGCGCGGCCTAAGCAACTCCTGCAGTGTGGCCGGCAGGTCTGCGCGCCTTTTCCGTACGCCCCCCCTGCCCCGCGCTCACCACGTTCGTGTCCAGCTCCAGCGCAGGTTCCCAGCCCAGGTCCCGGGGCCCGCAGCAGTCCAGGCAGACAAGAGCGCGGCAACGGTAGTGGCATGTGAACTTGCAATCTGCAGAGAGGCCTGGCGGTGAGGCGGAGGAGCCCCAGCTACAGTTCAGAGAAGCATTCCGGGCACGGAAGAGAACCCCCGGGATGAAGGCCGTTGCCCGCCAGGCTCTGCATGACAGGCCTTATCTTAAGGTCTAGTTACCCCCCGCTGCTATACAGATTCTAGTATTGGTCCCCCAACGTCTGGAAACTGACGGGAAGGCCTCCGGCGGTTAGGGATCCAGGCCTGTTGAACAGCTGGATCTTTCGCACTGAGTGCAGAATTTACCCCTCCCTCATTGTCAACGTCCCCCCCCCCCATCTCCGCGCATTAACAAAAGCCTTTACCCTTGTTCTCTGTCATCTGTCTCTACATCCCTCGCACCAAAACTTACCAACATTTATCTACATACACTGCTTACCGTCCTCTCTCTCCTTTACCCATTCCAGTCAGGCTTGCCCCTCCCTCCAGAAAACTAGTTAGGGTCCTCAGCAACATGCGCAGGGTCACATGCCAGGTTCCTTTTCCATCCTCACCCCCTCAGCATCATTTGATGCTTACTCTCCTTGATTTCCAGAGCTCCCCGCTACCCCGGTTTCCCTGCAGCTCCTGCTAAGTTCCTTTCGTTCTCTCTCAACTCCCAGATCTAATGGAGAGTGTCTGAGGCTCAGTCCTCATCACTGCCCTGCTCTGTGTACACTTACCTACCCCAGATCCAAGACTTCCATCTCTGACCTCCCTCCTCAGGCCAAAGCCCCTGTCAACCCAATGTGGCCAAAACAACTCTTCTTTCACCTCCATCCTCCCCTCACCAGAGCACCTCATCTTAGCAAAAATTGCTACTCTCCCAGTTTGAGGTTAAAAAAAAAAAAAAAAAATCCCAAATCACCCTTGATTCCTCTCTTCTCTTTGCTTCTGACACACACCCAAATTGTCCTGTATTTTAATCTCTGTCCACTTTATTTCTCCTTGGGAACACTTCAGTGTTCCAGCCCTTGCTCATGGTTGGTATTCTGTCACAACCCTGGTGTTCAGGACAGACTCTTATTCTGGATGAGAGGGTCTCCATGCCTACACAAGTCTGGGACACCTTCTCTAAATCCCTAAATGGGCTAGAGCAGTGATTCTCAACTACTCTCAATTCCACTCAATTCCAGGCTGCCTACTGGAATGATTTATTTTCTTCCAATGGCTGGTACACTCCCAGTGATTGATTCAACAGGTCTGAAGTCCAGGCATAGGGGTTTGGAGGGCTGTAAAATCCCAACCGATTCTAGCTGGTGTATATAGCCAGTGGGGCAGCAACCTCTGCTTGCTGGTGGGTGACTCCTGGGAGGGCAGAAGGGCTGCTGGTGTGTGGTTGTGTTTCATGTTTTGGCACCTGGCTAGCTGGGTCTGCGATAGGTATTTGCTCAACAAAATTCCCATTTGCAGAGGGCCCACCCAAGATACTTTCCCCCTGCCCCCCTCCCATAGGGGGTAAAACTCCCCCCATCCCAGAGATTCTGGAGGGGGACATGGTGAGTGAATCTTTAGGAAGGGGTGGGCCTGGGAACAGGGACTTATAGAGAGTGGTGGAAACAAAGCCTTTCTCAAGAAGAGCCAAGACACTTTAAAGATAAAAAGTTTGGAATCAGCACCTTATTCATAGTTATTTGTCGGCAGCTGCCTCTGCGCAGCTGTGCCCGATGCAGGTGGAGTAGGACAAGGATATACACCATCTATCCGCCTGCACTCTCTTACACGACGGGGCAAAGCCAATGGACTTGGCCCGCGGGAACCGACCCTGCCGACCGACCCCCTCCTTTGCGACTTGACACGCAGCGCAGGCGCTGCCTCTTGGCCGCCCGTTTCGCTCTCGCCAGCGCGCGGGGCTGCTACTCACGCGCGCACTGCAGGCCCTTGCGCACGACGCCCCAGATGAAGTCGCCGCAGAGGTCGCACCACGTGTGCGTGGCGGGCCCCGCGGGCTGGAAGTGGTGGCCGCGGCCCGCGCCCAGTTGCCGTGCGGGATTGCGCGCGGTGCCGGGCGCGATACGCAGCGCGTTGGCGCGCTCCAGCCGGGTGCGGCCGGGGCCGGCGCGCCGCGCGGGTTCCAATTCCCTCAGTTCAATGAGTTCAGGTTCCGTGGACATGGCCGGATCCGGCCGGGACTCCCGCCGGCTCTGGGCGCCCGCGAGCGCGGGGCGGGCGGGGCCGCGGGGCGGGCCGCAATACGGCGCCGCCCCCGGAATCCCGGCAGGGCCGCGGGAGAGAGTCGGAGCTAGCGGCGCAACGGAAACCTGGGCGCTTGGGCTGTGTCGGCCCGCAGGCGGAGTGGGGTGGCGAGGGCGTGGGATGGGGAGCGCTCTCGCAGGGTCCGGGCCCTCCCTCTCCTTTTCTCCCTGCATCCCGGGAGCACCCCTCCTACTGACACCGACGACGACAACCGTGAAGGGCTACTCGAAGACAGGCTGTTTCTAGAGGCCAGCTTTACTGTGCTAGAGGAACAGGGTCCCCACATCCGGCCCTTGTCTTTGCCCCCGCCCTCCTGCTCCAGCTCGCTGAGGCAGCGCCCTTAGCCTACCCGCTGGGTAGGGCAGGAAGTGGGGAGCGCTTTGCTGGGTAAGATGGGTCTGTGCTCGCTGCGCTCACCACCTTGGAGGCTGGGGCTCTGGCAGAGGCTAGGCTGAGATCCTGAGGTTCAAGGGCACACTCTTGGGTGGGCTGTACGGGTGGCTGGCCTTTAGCAGCTGCAGCCTTCACTTGGCTCTGTCACCTTGGACTGCCGGGACACAAGCCTTTCCATGCTTCTCCCAGTGCTTGACCTGGCACTCCCTGCAAGCAGGTGGGCTGGTGAGCAGGCAGAGCTAGCGGAGGGTCTGAAAGGGGGGCTTAGGGGTCCAAGGTCCCAGGATGCCCTCACCTGCAACAATACCATTCACTCTGGCACCGTGAGCAGCGTTTGGAGGCTTCTGCACTGCAGTAGGCACAGTGGGGCCGCTCTGGGGTTACTGCCTCCAGGATGTCCAGCCTGTAAGTCTCAGCCCATCTAGGAAAGAGGTCAGGAAAGCCTGGCTGGGCCTGGCCAGTGGGCACACAAGAGCACCCCTGCCTATGCCCATGCCTTCTGCATCCCTCCCACCCCTTCTGCTTGCTCAGCAGGCCTCACCTTTGTGCCTGCAGCCGCAGGTCCTGCTCCGAGGGGCTGAATGTGTGCCTCAGCTGGTGCTTGGCAATAGCCCGCCACTTCCCTCTGTTCTCTCTCTCCAGCCGCTCCCAGATTTCTGGGATCTGTGGGAGAAACGTGCAAAGTGTCAGGGAGGAGCTGGCAAGGCGGGGAGTCGTCCTGAGTCACTGACTTTCTAGTACCTACCTGTTCCAACACCAGGTCCTTCTTAGGGGGCTGGGTTTCAGCCAGGGCCAGGTGGGCGAGGAAGCCCTGCAGGTCTGCCAGGTTGGGCAGCTGGTCGAGCAGTGTGTCCGTGAGGAAGGCCCGAAGCTGCAAGGGAGTCCAGGGAAGGCCAGTGTGAAGCAGGGCTGACCAGAGAGGGCCTGTGCTGGGCTGGGCTGAGGTGCTTGTGGGGACCGTGTCGCTCGAGGTTCAGGGTCTAGAAATAGGACTGGGGCTGAGGTAAGTGGGCTGCACTGGGCTGGGGTGGGCTGGGTGGCTCTGCGGCCGGAGGAGGGCCCCACCTTGAGTAGCTGGCCCTTGGCAAAGCTGGTGAGGTGGTAGCGGGCCCGGGCTTCAGGGCTTAGTAGCAGGTTGTACAGAGCGATCCACACCTGCCCATCCAACTTGCTCAGCTTTTGCTGCTCTGAGGGGGCCACTGTCTGCCAACGGCCTCCCTCAAAGTGCTGCAGCTTGCCTGGGGAGAGGAGTGGGCATTGCTCACTCAGCCACTACAGCTGCATGGGCTCAGGACTGGCCCAGGTTGGGGCACTGCTTGCTCTAGAGCAGGGGGAGTCCTTAGTAGCAGACACAGAGGCCTTGCCTGCTGCAGAGCCCAGGTCCAAGCCCATCCCACGTGAGGCATCCCCAGATCCACTACGAGCTAGCGGGCAGAGTGTGGCTCCTGGGGGCAAGCTGCCTGTCTCCGTCAGTCCGGGAAGATGTCTCCGGGCAGCCGTGAGCTGGGGCTTAGGCAGGTGGGGGAGGACCTTACCTCCTTCCTGGCGGCTCCAGGGACTGTGTTCCAGCAGTTCCACCAGGAGGCAGGGCAAGTTGTGGGTACTGAGCATGCGGTTCAAGGTGCTCAAGGAAAGGCTAGGCGTGGTGGTGGAGAGAAGTGAGCAGAGGCTACAGGCCCGGGATCCCAGTGCTCCACTGTGGGCCCCAGGCCTGGCAGGACTGCCCACCTGTCCACACAGTCTGTGATGTAGCGCAGCACTGAGAGGGCCTTCAATGCGATCTCAAACTCCATCAGCTCGGCCTGCTTCTGCAGCTCCTGGGGGTGGGGGGACATGGTGCTTAAGCTGGGCCACCCCCAGCTTGCTCAGGCCTCAAGGGAGCCTGGTCTACCCATTGGCACCCCCAGGGAACCTCAACCTACCTGTATTGGGGTGCTGTACTGGGACTCCTCCTCAGGAGGGCCACCACAGCCACTCCGGGCCACCAACAGAGTCAATTTTCGGTGGCAGTAGTCTACCAGGTCCAAGACAGTGTCTTCTGCTGACTCACACACCTCCTGAGAGGGAGACAGAGGGGAAACATTCTGTCTCCAATGCTCTCCCCACACAGCCACAACCCCCCTTCCCTGTTAGGCCCTAGCATGGGGCAACAGCTGGTGGGCAGGGCTGATGCCTCACCTTGTGGAAGAACACGGTCTCCAGAAGGTTGACAATGGAGGCCTCATGGTGTACCTGTCAGATAAAGAGAACAGAGCCCGGAGCTGCTGAGGAAATTACTAGCTCTCCTCTCAAATCCAGAGCCCTCTAAAGGCACGGGCAGGGTGTGACCAGGGGCCTAGCTCACCACCATGTATATGGGAAAAGTGTTCTGGGGCTTGAAGTCCTCCAGCCTGCACAGCACAGGGAACACCTTCTGCTTCCACATCTCCACTGCAATCAGCTCCTCCACCAACGTTGGGATCTTTGAGGGGGAGGGGAAAGGAGAGGGATGAAGTAGGCCTACCTTGGCCTGGCAACCCTCCCATCCCTGGCTCAGCCCTGCCTGACTCTCCTCAAAGTCCCCTGGGCCCCTAGATTCTTTCCATAGGCACCTTCCCAATGTGTCTCCTGCACCTTAGACCTTCATTTCTAATTGCTCTTGATATCTCTGTGGGGACATTCTCATGCTTCCTGTAACTGGCTCTTGCCTAGTCCCTAGGCTGCCTTGTTCTCCTTTACATCTATGCTCTTGTCCCTTCTGTCCCCATTTGGGCGTTCCTCTCAGGCTGGCTCTCCTGCTGATGCCCTCCCTCTCATCCCAGTCCTTTGGCCTTCCAAGGTTCTAGTGTGCCTTGACCTCATCCTTACCAATGGGGCCTTGCACAATTTCCTAGTCCTTTCCCACCCTCCGGCAGGAGGCTCCACCTTTCATCTGCAGAGGAACCCTTTTGCCAAGTGATACCTCAGGTTACTTATCTGAGCCATGTCCTGGCTCATGTTCCAGCCGGGCTGATCCCTGGTTTCTAACTCCTCTCTCCTTGAGGAAGAGGAAGAGAAAGTCTGCCTCCTTCCATGCCAGAGTCCCACCCTGTTCTTTACTGAGGGTCCCCTCTGGCCTGACAGTCTATTCAAGGATGTTTTTAGAATGTGGGCCCTCCCCCCACAGCCTAGGCTGTTCTTTGATCCACAACTACCTCCCAAATCAAGCCATGCCTCACACTTGGACTGGTGTGCCAGAGTCCTGTACAAAAGGGGCACAAAATCAAAGGTGTAGCATGCTCCTCTCTTTTCCCTTGGGGAAGACAAGTGTACCACCCTGAGGGAAGTGGCACCCCCTGAGAGGTAGAGTGGTGGTGTGGGAAGTGGTGGGAAGGCAGGAACCGTGCCTGTGATCCCAGCATACCTTCCCATGGGTGACCAGCAGCTCCTGGATGGGCTCCCCCTGGCTGGCTGTAGCATCAAGGATAGCCTGCATGTTCAGCTTCTCCAGATTCTCATGCTGCTGGTTCCACCTGCCCCAGAGAATGGGGGTGTATGTGCATTTGGGAGCACACGTGTGCCGTAGGAGTGGGGGTGGGCTGGGTCCTATTGAAGCCTAACCTGATCCTGAGGGGCCAGAGGGGGCTCAGGGCCATATACTCCTAAGTCAGAGAGCTCTGTCTCTTCACCTGGGGGCTCCCCCACACTGGTCACCCTCTCCCCCATGTCAGGTCCCTACTCCTCCATTCAAGGACTCCGACACCGTGGCTCCGCCTAACCCCTGGATCCAGCTGCCTCACCCTCCGGAGCCCATCTCGCGCGGCGGGAAGCTGCGCAGCCCCCGCACCAGCACTTCAGCCTCCCCTGGCAGCAGCAGCTCCAGGTCGCCCATGTTGTGGCCGCAGAGAGCGAGCGGGAAGGGGGGGTTCAGCTGACCCCGGACAGCAGCCGGCGCTGAGGGGCGAGTGCTGAAACTCTCGGGGACGAACGTCTCCCGCGGGGTCCAGGTCTTGGACACAGCCGTTGCGGAGCGGTTGAGACGCTTGGGTACTCGCCGTCATGGAAACGGTCAGCTCGGCGCCTGCGCAGTGCCGCCTGCACAGGCTCCGGCCACGCCCCCGGCCGCCTCGCCCTCCCGGCAGCTGGTCTCGACCCTCTTTGGACTCCCAGAACTTTACCCCTCACCTTTGACTGCAGCTCCTGGGTCTGCCCTGAGTGCCAGACTCCTGTGGCCTAGGTTCTCTCCTCGGACGTCAGATCGACCCGCACAGGGATAGGGTCACTCTGCCCCCTCCAGTTCTTTCAGCCGCGGATCCACCTCGGCCGCGCGGATGCTCCTCTCCGTGGCTTCCTCGTCCTATGTCTCACATCCAGCTCCACCTGTTGCTTCTACCCCCACAAAGTACTGCGCAGGGCCCACTTGTCTCCATCCTAGCTTAGCAGACTGCCATCAACCTCTCACGAGGTAACTGCTGTCGTCTTTTTCTGGGTGACTCTATGGCTGCCTCTAGCCTTTGAAATAGTATGTCCAAAGCAGCTTACCAGGAACTCTGCAGTATCAAGCTCTTGCTCCCTCAGTACCTCGGGACTTCTTTTCTTGCCCCTCTCCCCATTGCCTATGTTGCAGCCCCTGGGGCCTCTCTTGGCTTCCTCATGCATCCTAAAGCTGTTTTTGCTTCAGGGCTTCTACACCTGTTCCCTCTGCCTGGAATACTTTTCCTCCTTCAAGTCTCAGTTGAAAGTCACTTCAGCGAGGCCTTCCTTGCCCATTTAATCCAGAACAACCCCAGCTCCCATCCCCAACTCATTCTTCATGACAGCTTCCTGATTGTTTTTTTGACTGTTCATTTCAATTAATAATTAGCGGGCACTTTTACTTGTGCATTGTCATTCCTGCCCACCAGATGGCGCACTAGAGCGCCAGGACCGCGGCTATTTCACCGCCAGTCCTCTGGTGGCTGGTTCAGAGGCGGTACTCAATAAAGGTAGGTTGAAATGGATGATTTTATTTACAGAAGTGAGGGTCACCCTTGAGACAATATGGATGAGTCTACCGGTCTAGCCCTCATGCACCCAGGAGCACTTAGAAGGAGTGAGAGCAGCCACAGCCGCGTGTAACCCCCACCAGCCTCATTTCCAACAGATGATAATGTTGGGGTCATTTTCCAGCCGTTCATCAAGTTCGTGGTAGCTCATGCCTGTTTGGGACAGTGCAGGTAAGGTGAGCAGTCTTGGCCTGGCCACCTGCCCTGACCCCACCCCAGCTGCCCTGCCTGTCTCCACCTGTCTTGCAGCAGATCTCATCATAGCTGTGGCAGCCTGTGTAAAGCCGGGCAGGGTGGCTCCGCTCCTCCCGAGACACCCGCACGGGGTACTTCTGTAGTCGGCGGATGAGGTTCTTCATCAGCCCGAACTGGATCAGCTTCCTGGGGTAGGGTTGAGGGAGAGAGGGGTGATGCCCTGGCCAGGGCTTCCTCCAGCCCCACTAACCCTTTCCTGCAGTCTCCCTTCTGATTTTGTTGGCCTCTGAATGCATCACCTCCAAGAAGCCTGCCTACACTAGTAGTGCCACATGATTCTGCTCACTAGGAATCTCCAGCTTCCTTTCTAACCCAAGGCTCCAGAGAGATGTAGAGTGTATCTGCTTTCATGCAAACCCCTCGTGCCCCTGGGGATCCTCTTCTGACCGTTCATCAACGCGCTGCAGCTGCTGGGGGTGGCGGCCAATGAGGTCTCTCACAGTTGTGCCAGGGCTCAGGCTGCAGTACAGCTGGAACACATCCCGGAGACTGGCCCTCTTGTGCCCTGTGGGCACCGAGGGTCAGCTCTGCACGTAGCCCTGCCCTCCCCAAGACGGCCTCCCCTAGAGCCCACCACTACCTTGTTTGGTCACATAGGATAAACAGGCCTCTTGCAGGGACTTGTCATCTACGAGGTCCTGGACCTTGGGTGTCGGGCAGTACACATTGGAATACTGGAGGGTAGCAGGAAGCACAGGGGCCTGAGTGAGGGGCTTGGAAGTCTGACACCACCCCAGTCTGGCCAAACCATGTAAATTACTCTCTGCTTAACCAGACCCCAGACTCACCTACCTGGAGGATGGACACCAGTGTCACGACGCCATAATACCTGGGGGAGATAGTTGTGCTCAACTTCTGAGGGCCATGCCTTCCCACCTCCACACGTGGGGTCCTGAGGCTCTTCTCTGGCTAGCAACCCTGTCCCAAGTGTGACTGCTGCCCCACTCACAGCAAGTTCTGGATGGCGATGCGCACCAGGTTGAGCTCCACATCTGCCTCGGCTGAGATCTTCTGGACATGGCGGAAGCCATCAATATAGGGCAGGATCTGGGAAAAGCAGGGTAGGGTAGGGCAGGGTCAGTAGGAGTGGGATGAGGCCAGAGCTGTGGCCAGCCCTAGGTGATGATATCCAGGGAGGAAAAGCACACCTGTTGTGTGGTAAGGTCCCACTGTGAGTTGAAGAAATCCTCCTTGTCCTTGGTAAAGACAGGCACATCATACTCCTGGGCCACAGGAGGGTCAGGTCGCTGCTCAATCACCTTCAAGTGGATGGTGTTGGACTCATCTGCAGGGGCCCCACCCATATCTTCAGTGTCCTCTCTTTCAAGAGGCCCTCAATTACCCTCCAGTCCTCCCAGCAGCTCTTGAGGCAGGTGGGTGGCCCTGGGTAGGGCCTGTCTCCCCAACTCCCACCTTAAGTAAGCTCCATGTCCAACGTGGGGCTTGAACTCATGAACTCAAGATCAAGACTCACATGCTTTACTGACTGAGCCAGCCAGGCGCTCCCAATCTTCCCCTTTTAGGGAGCAAGAGACAGGTCCAGAGAGGGAAGGGAACATACCCAAGGAGCATGGAGAGCTCTTCTGGCCTCCACACCCCAAATTCCAACATGCACTGGACCCTGGACATCATTAACCCAGCTCACTGGGCCACCAATTTGTTCATGAGTCTTGCCCATGGCTGGGCTTGCCTTCCCTTGCCATGTTCGTATCCCTCCTCTACCCCTCTGCTGTCCTTGAAAAGGCAGGGCCATACCGATGGGCAGAGTGCACCGGCCTGAGGCATTTAGCTCCTCCAGCAAGATGGTCATGATGGGCACCAACTTCTGCTTGCTCTCCTCTGTTGACACGAAGCTGCTCTCTAGCTGGATGGAGCATGGACAACATGGTGGGCACACCCCAGGAACCCTGGCTGGTATCCTGCCCTGGCAGATACCCAGGTTTGGAGGGCTTTGGAAACATTTGCCTGCCTTCCCCTCCACTCAAGCCCATCCTGTTGCAGACCTCCAGTGTGGTCAGGTAGCCAGCCAGCTTTTTGACGATGGGCTCGAGGGCACAGGTCTTGGCCTGGGCATCACACACGAAGCCTAGGTTGAAAAGCAGGGCATTGCGGCTGTACTTCTTGTGTTCAATGCACACGGGGCAGCCGATCAGTTTCTTCTCCATGGCTGTGCTGGATGCGGGGAACAAGTGGGAGCAAAGTCAGGCTCCTTCTGTCCCCAAGCTCATCCACTCCTCAGGGGACATTCCCTCCCTTCCCCACTAGGGCCTCACACAGTGATAAGCTTGTTCTGCAGCTCTGGCTTGGTGATGATGTACACCTGGACTGTGTCAAACAGCTCTCGGGAGATGAAGTCTTCAGGGACCTGGGGAGGGGAGTGGTAAGAGGCCCCTTAGTGGACCCTGGGACAATGTAGAGTACACTGGGTGACCCCCAAAGCCTAAACCCTCTTGTCCAGAGATTCTTCTTCCCCCCATCCACCCAGATCTACCACTACTTTGTGTTTCCAAACATATGCCATGTTCTCACCTGCCTCCTGGCTTTTGCATATGCTGTTTCCCCTACCTGGCTCACTCACTCCTCCTCCATCTAAATTCCTAAACATCCAGGAATACTACTAGACCATGCACCCCGCCTCTCTTGGGAGCTGGCACCTCCCTGGGATCTCTATAGCCCGATTTCCACAATCATTGCCTATGGGCTGTTTGCCCCGTCACACCGGGAGCCTGGGACCTGGGTCTGAGTGGCCTCTCGATTCACGATTCTCCGCGAATGAAGGAATGGTATGCCTGCGTGCAGCATGGGCTACAGGAATCCACCGCTTCCGGGCAGCTTGCTCAGCTCCCGGGAGCGTCCCTCTCCCACCACCCCCACCACCCCCGCCCCGCGGGCACGGATGGCACCTGATAGGTGATCTTGGGTCCCAGCGTGGGGTGGAACTCGCTGAAGAATATGCATTCGATGCGGCAGCCGCTGCCCATGGCGCTGGCAGGGCCCAGGTCTGTAGACCCTGGCTCCTGGACCCCCGCGAACACCCGTCGGAGACAGCCCTCAGGCCTGGCTAGCCAAGGCAGGCACGCCTGCGCACTGAGGCACCGGTTAAGCTGTCTGCTTAACAGCGCTTGCGCAGAGCGACTGGGAGGTGTGGCTGGAGGTGGGGGAATCTTGTCTCAGGAAGTCCCGGCTGGACAGACGTCGTACCCGGAAGTGAAGAGGCTCCGCGACGGACCGGCAGCGCGCGCGGCAGTGCCCCGAGTATCCCGCTTTCTCGGGAAGAAACCACCGCATCGGGTCAGCGCTGCGGGTGAGGCAGGCGAGTCCCTAGCGTGTAGGCGCAGCATGCCAGGGGCACGTGGGGAGACTGCGCGCGAAGGGATTCAGGCTATAATTTTGTACAGAGATGGGAACTACAATTCCCATAGTGCTTCACGCCCTTTTAGCTGGCGCTCCCGCGCGGCGACGGCGTGACGCCCGCTGGGATTTGTAGTCTATTACATGGCCTTGCGCATCCTACCTGGAAGGTGGGCCAGGGAGCAGTGCTCGTTCAGATGCGGGTGCACGCCGACAGGCCGCCGGTCCTCGACTATTCCTAGTGCCTGTGTTGGTACTGTCCCTTCCTACCTTATCTTCTTGGAAGAGAGTGGCATTCCTGACCCGCAACCTTTGCTCCAGTGAGAAGAGTGGACAGCAGGCACCTGAGACACTTGCTCATTCTACTATGCTTTCAGTCTACAGCCATTGGCCTGGTTGACCATGGCCCTTTCTGTGGAGACGGAATCGCACATCTACAGAGCTCTGCGCACTGCCTCTGGGGCTGCTGCCCACCTTGTGGCCCTGGGTTTTACCATCTTTGTGGCTGTGCTTGCCAGGCCTGGCTCCAGTAAGTAGAATTCATAGTTGACTTCTGGGAAGGAAAGTGCCCCTTCTCCTGGGGAGCAGGAGCAAGAGGAAGCCTTGGGCCTGACTCCAGGAAAGGCTTGGCTGGCTGGGGGACATCTTATGTTTGGAGGACTAAGTGGGGAGGAGGTGAGCGTGGGGGCTCTGCCAGTTTGGCCAGAGTACCTGGCTTCTCTTTCCTTGTCTTGGTGCCCCACTTGGCTGCCCTTTGTGAAGTGCTAAGAGGAGGGAGAACTGCCAGAGTGGCACAGCATGGCCCCTGCTCCACGGAGGGACCAGGAAGCAAGGATAGGTAGGGGGTGAGCTTGTTGCAGTAAGAGGGGGCTAGCAGTTTGGCAGCGCTTCCTTGGGTGTTGGGCTGCCCATTATCCTCACCCTGTGGGGGATTGATGTGGCTGGGTTCTTGCCTCAGCCTCACAAAAACTCCTTTTCATTCCAGGTCTGTTCTCCTGGCACCCCACGCTTATGTCTTTGGCTGTAAGTAGTGCGCCTGGCCAGCTCTTAGGGGTGGGAGGGAGCACAGGTATGGGAGGTAGTCCTGACAGTCTCTGAATCCTTATGGACACTTCATCTCTCTTTGGAGGGATGGAATGTGGGATTGGAGAAGTTGCACGCTCCAATTCCTGCATGTGGTTCATATCCCAGACTTGAACCATAGTGTTCAAAACCCATAGCAAATTGGTCTAAGCACAAAATGAGACTTCACCCACCTCCAGG